AAAGGAGTTACAGTTTTACTCATTTTTTTACAGAAAATAAATAAAATTTTTGTGTATTCAAGTTTGGTGTTCAGATATTTCAAGTTCAGAAAAGCATTAAAAAAATATATACTTTAATGCCATGGACCACACGTGAAAAAAACCCCACTCATTTACATGGAATGAATACCGCCTTTTCATTGGTATTTGTCACACTAGAGCTATGGTCTGGGAAACATCCCTTAGGATGATCCAGACATGCCATCCTCTGAAGCTCCATTGCTTTGGTGTGAATGAAGTCGAGCACTTCACTGTAGAACAGACTTTCACTGGTTTACATCGCGGGACTTTCATTGAATTACATGAGTAAAAAATAGCTTTTTTCAACCAAGGATATGTTTCCCATTTTTTTTTTACAAACATTGAGAGCAGAAATCTTGGTAGCAGGCGCTACAGATAATTTTCTTCTTTTAAAAAAGCAAACGAACAAATTACTGAGACTCTTTAACTAAACTTTCTAATTAAAAACTAAATTGAGAGAGCACCTCAAACACTGTTACTTGATTGCAGGCTTAACTGTATTGGAATTTCATTTCACTTTTTAGTATTGTTGCATAAAATTCAGTTGGAATTAAAACAATATAAAGATTTTCAGTGTTAATTTTTAAGAAAATTTTGTTCTTTACGTATGTTAGACTAAGCTGAATTTTTACAACAATAATCTTTGTTTGACTGTGTTGAGACACTTTTGGATTTATGCAGTGGATTCAGTCTTTAAAATTCCACTGCCAGGACTAGAATGCAACAATGACCAGTGGCATAGTTTTGGGGATAAAACTCCCTCCAAAATTATACATTATTTGATCAATGAGCTATTGTACGGTAATAGGATGTAGTTTTAAAAAAAAACTTCGTTATTAATTTTTTGTAAGTCTGGAAAAAAAATATTTATATATATTTTCTCTATCGCTGTTGTAAAGAAATGTGTCCTAAAGAGAAACTTTCAATTTATCTTTTAAACTTTTCCATTTTTTTTCTTCATTTTTCTAATTATATTATGTCTCTATGTGTCTATATACAGGGGTCTGTCCAGACATTTTGTGAAAGGTCCGTTTTTCGTGAAATTGTGAANGGGAGGTGAACTCCTTCTAAATATACAATAAAACTACACCACTGATAATTATTAATAAAATTATTAATTATTTAATAAAAATTAAGGAAAATAAAGAAATTTTTGTTGGCCTATTTAGGAGTTTACTTTTTTTTATTTATATATTGCTTGTTTATTGTTAAGAAGAGACATGAAACAGATTGCAGCCTTCTCTTTTAGTTGTAATACATTTCCTCAATGTTTTTCCCTTCACAATCAAGAAATTAGTTCTTCTTATTCATAAATTTTAAGATTAAGAATTGGTCTCATCATATCTTGCTTTGTCCCAGGTTTTAATATTTATGTTAGTGCTTCTCTTAGCAAACAATTCTGTTTGGAAATTAATAAGTGTTGTTTTTATTTAATTTGATTATTAAATTGACCTTTTATTTCATAATTTTCTTTGCTTTGTTATCATCATTAATTTGATGATTTTAATAAATCTTTCTTGTATTATAATTTGGTTTTATTTTGTTTATTATAATTTTGACTTAATTTCAATTAATTTATATATTTTTCTTTCTTTATTTATTTTTTAGTTTGATATTTATTATTAAAATAGGATTTTTTTAAAATTATCTTATTAATTTCGCAATTTTATGATCTTAAGTAATCTTTTTATATTTATCCAATTTGTTAATGATTAGTTTTTTTGTTATTGATTAGTTTTTTAGTCCAAAATCTTTACATATTGCATTTTTATTGTTTTTGCCTCCTTCTATTTTTAAGTAAGTTTGTCAGTTGTTTGAATATGTTTTTATTTCAATTAAATACATATTATTTGTTCCATATTTTTAGTAATTTAGTATTTTTTATAATAATTTTTTGTGACTTAATCAAAAAAATCTTCTTTGTGTTGTTTTGTGGCTTAATTGAAAAATTGATTGTTCAGTTCAGCCATTATTTTTTGCTTTCTTGCACTTTTGTTTCATATTTTAGGATGATAATTTATTGTATTAAAAGTATGCAGTTTTTATTTTTTATTTATTTATAAATCTATTTATCCAATACTGATTTTTTTTAATTTTACTTTTTTTTTTAATTTTACTTTTTTTATTTTATTTATTTATATTTTACACCATAGAAATGAAAAAGCTTAATCGGGAACCAAAATTATGATGATGCTTCTTTAAAGTCTATGTTTAATGGGGAATGACCTGCCATTGGTACAGGTAATCGCTGTTCACAAGAAGGGATTTGATATTTCATTTTGCTGGATACCGAGTCACGTCGGTATACCAGGGAATGAGTTGGCTGATTATGCAGCACGATTTGCAACTACTGAATTAACAAAATTGGTACCATTCTCAGACATTAAATTACATATTCGGCAGCTCATCTTGTCCCTTTGGCAACAGCATTGGGACCTTCAAACTCAAAATAAACTTTATAACATCAAACCATATATAGATCCATTACCTGTATTGCGTCTAAGTAATGCAGATGTAAAGCTAAATTGTCTCAGAATTGGCCACACTCGACTCACGCATATTCATCTGTTGTTTAGAGAATCTCCTCCCAAATGCGACTGTTGTAATGTTTTACTTACGGTTCATCACATTTTAACCATTTGTCCTTGTTTTAACCAACCTCGTCTTACCTTTTTTAATAGCACTATGTTATGTATGAGGGATTTGTTAGATGAAATTCATCATCCTAACATTTTCGCATTTCTGCGAGTTATTGGTATTTTGTATTGTATATAACTGTTTTATCTGTTTTTATTCACTCTTATTTCTTACCCATGTACCGTTTTACTTTTACTGTGTATTTTATGGAATTACGCTATTTATCGATTTTTATGAACTTTTAAAAATACGTGTCTACAATTTTATTAGTTTCATTTATTTTATGACAATTGCTAAATTATTGTGTGCAATTTACCATTAGATCTGACTCAACAAATTGTTTGGCACTGCATATCCTCCTTCGGATCTTGTGCCATAAAACTTCCACATTCGATCAATCGGCTGCATGATCTGCTACCTCTGTTTTAACTCTATTTGTACCTTTCTTAGACACAAAAACTTATATTCGACAGTTCATCACATCTGTTTGGCAACAACAATGGGATCTACAAATTTTTAACACGTTGCACTCAATAAAAACATATTTTAGCCCATATCCTGTATTGAGTCTGCGGCATGCAGATGTAAAGTTAAGCCGTCTCCAAATCGGCCACACTGGCAGACCCACCTACATTTGTTATTTGGGGAACCTCCTCCCCAATGCAACACTTGTAAAGTTTTACTCACTATTCATCATATTTTAATCATCTGCCCATGTTTTAACCGTCATCGTCTTACTTTTTTCGGTAGTTCTATTTTAACTCTGCGGGATTTGTTAGGTGACTCTCATCGTCCTAACATTTTTGTGTTTCTATGCGCAATTGGTCTGTTATACTGTATATAACTGTTTTATCCTATTCACAATTTTATCTGATTTTATTCAGCTTTGAATACATCTGTTTTGTTGTATCTAGTTTAATAAATTCCGTGTGATTTTAAATGAGGAAAATTTGTAATATACATTTACCTAAGATTTACATTATAATGTACATTTACCTATGCATTGTAATATATATACTTGTAATATACATTTACTTTTATTTTAGAACCGTTTGTTTGGCGCAGCATGTCCTTTGGGTTTTGTGCCATTAAATCCTACATTCAATCAATCAAACCCATTGGTACAGGATTATCCTATTTTTTATTTTCTTCTGAACTATAGAAAATATTGATGTCTACCTATTTTAATCAAAAAATCTCTAAAAGAAGAATATTTGCTATAAAGTCTTTAATTGGAAGAAAACTTTTTATATCTAAGAATTAACAACATACTAAAAATATATTTTTTTGCCTTAATAAATGTTATCAATGTTTAATATTAGAAATGTGTTTAGAATTTTTTTTAAGATTAGTTGTCTTTTTGTTGTATAATTTGTTGGTATGAAAATCTTGCACATTTTTTAATTCCTACTATTAGTTCAGACTCTCCCTATATCTTGTTCAAATTTTCTATCGTTAATAAAATACTTTTTATTCATCCGCACAAATTCAAATACATTTTTTGAAACTTGTTGTGCATGACAGTTGATGTTAATACAGTTTTTTAAAATACTAATTCATTAATTAAATTTACTAAATTGATTTTAGTTTTATATGATAGAAAAAATTGAAATTATTTAATAAAAAGTAATTACAATAAAATTTTTCTTCATTGACCTAAGTAGGAATTGACTTTAAAAAAGTGTTTTTTTTCTATTACTAGTTTATTTTGAAAGCATTTATACCATAACTTCTTTGTGGATAATTAGGAATCAGGCAACCAAGATTCCACTTCATTAATATAGGGAGTTATAGTTTGGTGTTGTATTTCATTTGACTAAAATTTAATAAAGTTTTAACTTTTGTCATAGGTTAAATGTAAAGAGTTTTTTTTGTTTTTGTTTTGCTGATAATAGTGTATTTATTTTGCGATTTTGAGTATTATATTTAATTCTTTTAGACAACAAATCAGAAATATAATAGAATTCGAAACTCTAAGTGGTATATTGAAAGCTAAACGCCTAAATGATAACAAGATACAAATTGATTTGCCTGCCTATAATTTTACATGAGTAAGTTATTTTTTCTAAACTTATAAGTCTACTGACTAGTTTTCATTTTATAGGTCTCTATTTTTAAAGAGTCTTCTTAATTATAAGTGCCATTTTAGTATGTGTCATGCGTATCTTTCAGTTTTTAGCGAAATTGTAAAAATGTCTAAAAAATCTAAAATTTTTTTTTAAGGGACGAACTTATATAATAAATATTTTGTACTGTGCATGCTTTAAATGAATGATGTTAAATGTATTTTATTATTTTTTGTAAAAATAATTAATTTTGTTAAATTTAAAATTAAAATATGTTTTGTATAACTTTTCCATTTCTCAAAGTGCTTGATAAGAAAATTTTTATGTTTAAAAAGAAAATATAAAAAGAGTTTTTTTTTTTAAGTTTAAATAGCTGTAAGAATAAAATATATTTCTATTATGGAGAAAATATTTTTAATGGAAAATATTTTTAATATTTTTCGTATAAGTATAAAAAACCTAGTAAAACTTTTTTTTTTAACATTCGTATAAATGTCATCAATTTTTTATATTAAAAATGAGTTGTAAAAAATACCCAATCAATGTGAAAAAATTACTTGTGTATAATTTTTTTCTTGTAATGTAATTTTTAATGTAACCAGGTGGATTTGCTCTCCTATCCCTTTGATTGTCAATTCATTTGATATTTTCAATTTATTCAAGTTTATTTTCAAAAATTGATAAAGATCATAGATCCCAAGGAGAAAAATATAGTCAGACCTCGATATAAGGTCACCCCGCATATAAGGTCATTTTTCCAAAGTCCCGGCTCACTGAATAGGAATTCTTTGTTACGGATTATCGGTTATATGGTCAAGTTTTAGAAATCGTTATCGCTTATAAGGTCATTTTTATCTGAGGCAAGGGGAGCTCTTTTCTAACAAAAGCCTATTTAACTTCCTTAGAAGGCAATTTTAATTTTAAATTCACCCCGCTTATAAGGCCACTTTTGTGATGTCCGTTAGGGTGATCTTATATTGAGGTCTGACTGTATATAGTTATTAAAATTTTATGCTAGCACATTTTGTTAATTTGTTAATCCTAGCAAAATGAATGATTGTCTGGATTTGAAAATAATCAATTATACTTGAAAAAAGGAAACTTAGGAAAATTTTGTTACATTATGAAATAAAAAGGAAGTATTTTTATTTGATTGCAATAAGTAATGACCTTATATAACAGTTTAAATTTGAAATTTTTCTTTTTTAATTAAGGCTTTTATATTTTTAAAAATTTAAATAAAAGTGTTAAGTTATACTTGGCAACAACTAATTCTAATTCTCTCTCACTCTTTTTTTTTATTTTTTACTTTCAACATCAACTCAAGTATGAGCATACAAAATGAAGATCTAAAGAGAGAGATAAAATTGTCTACAACATGAATAAACATGTATTACTTATAGCAAAAGGAATGAAAAAAAATTTTTTAGAAAAGCATTTAAAATTGCAGTAATTTTTTGAAGAAATTGAAATTTTGAAGTAAAACAAAACTCAAGTTCATCATTTCATCACGTCGAAATTCAATTCTTTAGTTGCATACCTGAGGGTTGCAAAGTAGCTCAAAGGGTATCTTTTAATTCAAATGTAACGGTAACTGATTTTCAAACTAAATATCAAATTTTAAATTCCTTGTTAACCTTGTACATTTTTTGCACTGCTCAGTAAATTCAAGTTTCTAAATCTTACACAGGGTGCGCAGCGTTTTTAAAAAGTGCATAAAGTTGCTTATTTTTTATTTACGTTTTTTAAAAGCCTTTAAAGTTGCTTTTTTATTCGGGGTTTGTAAAAAGTGCTTAATTTTCTATCTCTTAAAAAGAGATTTTTTTTGCCGTGTCCATTGTTATTCTAAATTTCAAAAAATTCAGGATTTTCAAATTTTTCTCTGTAATATTTATCAGAAACTAGTTATTGATTTTATGTTGATAAATAAAGAACTTTAAATGATAGAAGAAAAAAAATTTTATTTGTGCACAGATCCTAATTATGATTTTCTTTTTTTTTTTGGAAAGTGGTTANTTTTTTTTTTTTTTTTTTTTTTGGAAAGTGATTATAAATATTTTTTGAGTGCTTAAAAAAAAACTAAAAAAGGGCTTATTTTTTGTTAAAAAATCTGACTACGCATCCTGTTATAGATTTTGTGCAGAAAAACAAAATATAGGTTGAACACCCAAAACAGCTATAGCTGGGTCTCTTACAATTTTTGAATATAAAGAATCTCTTTTAATTTTGTAATATTGACAGCTATAAATTGGTGTTTTGTCTGCAAATTTATTTTACTCAAATAGACTAAATTTTTAACATAAAAACCATGTTTCAGACACTGAAGTAATGTTGATTTAAATGCTAAGTTTTACCTACATTTTCTATAAGACATATAAAATCTTTGTCTTAAAGGCAATTTCTGAAATGCCAAAAGTTAGAAATTGTGTTTTTTACACTATGTGGAGTTGTAGAAATCAATCCTTAGAGCCAGGCATGTGATTCTTCTGCTAATTCATAAAATTCTGTGAATTAATAATTTATATTCTCACAAAAAAAATCTGAAATCTTCTAATCTAAAATTTACATTTAGTTATTTACACATGCCTGCCAACTCTCCTGTATTTTACGACTATTCCTGTTTAATTAAATGTCCTGTTAAATTAAAAAAATTTGGCCATAAAATATCCGCTAATGGCGAAAATACTTTTCTTATTCCTCAACAGAAGGTGCTATTGCCATTACAGCTGTTGAGTGTTTATTAAGTAATTATAAATAATGGTTTTAAGAAAAATATTCTTTAGATTAAGATTTATATACAAATTTTTTACATCACTAAATGTAAATGCTTTTATTATTTCCAATTTTGAATTTCTCTTTTTGACTTACATGATTATGCATGATGTATCAAAACTTTACTCCTAGCCTAAAAAAATGTCACTAGTAAAATCTGTTATTTTATTTTTCTGATGTTGACAGGTATGCTTTAAGTGAAATCTGGTTGACGCGACACTTATTCTGTCTTTGACACTTATTTTGTCACCCTCTTTTGTTTTTCTTAAGAAGTTCTCATTCACACGTGATAATGACTTTTTAACTCAGATTTAATTGAGAAAAACGCAACTCTGGAATAACTTCAGCAACACATGAGTGAAAAAAAAACTTCCATAATAACTTAGTCTCAAATTAATGATCAACTGAGGCAAGCACTAAAGCATAAAGATAATCTAAAAAGTAATTCCTAAATAGCAAACGTTTAAAACTTTTTTTTCTCATTGTTTTTGAAACTTGCATTTTTTATGAGTAGCAATTTTGTTGCCAATTCTGATTTTGAACTGAAGAACTATTTTATCCAATCTGATATATTTGCAACGATTAGATTGAATTAATTTTTATTAAGATATTACTATAATCAGAATACAAAGAAATCAATACGAAAATTTCGAATTGCGCCTGTTAGTCGTCGTTATACTAAGAAGATTTAAATCCATTTTATAGTAGTCCATGATATCTCTGTGTTTTTTTTTTAAAATCCTAATATTCTCATAAAATATTATTTTAAAAAACTAGTAACTCAAATCGCACATTTATGTAAATGCCTTTTGACACGTTTGATTTGCACTACATCCCTACAGCATTTAAATCTTCTTTTTTTTGGCAGTTATTGCTGCTGAATTTTCAAAAACCTAATATTATGATACTATCTTATGATACTTACTTATGATAGCTATATCATCAATCTCAGTTTTTGCCTTAAATTTCATGGTTTTTAAAATCCTTTTTTTCCCTCTTACTTTTAATGCTATGAGGACTCATAAAAATGTGAAAAAGGAGTAATTGTATAATGTTTTCAATATAGATATTCTTTTCTGTGTTGATAAGAAAAAATATATTATGTAAAAAAAATTTCTATCTCTTTTTAAATTTTGTAAATGTTACTTTTGAGTTAAAAAAATTACCATCTTTTAAATATCTTCTATGTTTAATGCACACAAAGGAAAGATATATCACCCTAAATAACTTTTGTGCTAATGTTCAAATTTTCACATACCAAGTGTCAATCTAAATGGTTTCTGGGGTGACCTCAAATACGCTAATTAGTGCTAACTATTTATTAAGTTACGAAATCAAACACAAAAATTTACTTTCTCTGAATAAACATGTTTTTTTTTTTACATATTTGGATTCTTAACCTTCAAAATATCGGGAGCAGCTGCACTCTGGGAAATATGGTCTTCTTAGTTTGGTTCGGACAACAATACAATGTTTGGACCCCTTATTGTTAATTTCACTTTTTGCGTTTTTAATCATATTTTTAAAAATAATAAAGACATTTTTATATTAATATTTGTAAAAAGTAGTTCTATGTGAGCAATTTTCATAGAATCTTAAGAAAAATTTTGATTTTCTAATGTTTTAAAAATTCAGTAAAAACATTCTGAAAATACTTATTTTGATATTCTCTGTTTGCGTTTATGATTCTGTTACAATTTACTGTTGCACTTAAATTTTCAGGCAAGAGTTTGAATCATTCAAAAAATAATGCAAATGAATTATTATTTGCATCTTCTGAAGTGGTTGGTGTGATAGTGACTTTGGAAGCAAAAGACAAATTCGATTGCAAAGATGATGCTGGAAATCAGTATGATTTTATATCCCGTTACTTTGCACCCTGGTTGGGAGTAGCAGAGGACCCAGTGACTGGTATTTATCTTATCTTAATTATTTTGTATAATTAACGAGTTAAATTTATGATTATGCAAGAAAAAAAGATGAAATAAGAGAGATTTTGTAATTTTTGATGGTATATAGCCATTAATTCTTTTGTGTGTAAACAGGTTGCAATATTACTTTGCCTCTATTGATCTATTTTTCTTTTAAAGTAAATGATCCCAAGAAACTAAAGCTGGAAAATATATTTCCTAATGAAAAACAAAAAACTTCATTACCTTGAAATATGAGGTAAGAAAGTTTGAAATGTCTTAGGTCTCTGGTCACCAGCCTTTAGATAAATAAGATAAAGTCCCAGCTCTGTTTTGTCTCTGCACCGCCATTGTTTCTCTTCTTGACCGTGATTTTTCTTGTCTTTCATTTTTTTTTTTTCAAATTTCTTTTCTGGAAACTTAGCATTCCTTCCTTCCTTTTTTTTATTTTTTTGAATTTTTTATTCCCCATTTATTCTGGTGGGTCTTGAGAATGGGTGACTATGTTTTGAGTGCTCAAAGCATGTCAACTTTTCCTACTTGAATGATTTTTGATTGTGTTGGGAGTTGGTCACAACACAATGAAATTAAATATTTGAGAAAGTAAGAGAGGCTAACATATGAGGTTCACTTTTTTTCTCTAATAGTGTAAATTATTAAGGATTCTGCAAATTTTTGCTGCTGAGGGCCATTGTTTTTGTTTTCAAATCATTATTGTTATTTTTAATTGTGTAATAGATATTATTGTCTTTATTACGACATAGATTTATTATAAAATGAGTAGCTCTCATTACTGAGGCTATTAGCGTTTTTTCATTTCCTTTTTTATGTCCTTTGTTTGTTTCGTTTTTGTNGTTGGGAGTAGCTGAGGACCCAGTGACTGGTATTTATCTTATCTTAATTATTTTGTATAATTAACAAGTTAAAGTTAGATTATGCAAGAAAAATCGATGAAATAAAAGAGATTTTGTAATTTTTGCTTTTTTGATGGTATATAGCCATTAATTATTTTGTGTGTAAACAGGTTGCATTATTACTTTGCCTCTATTGATCTATTTTTCTTTTAAAATAAATCATAAAGCTGGCAAATATATTTCCTAATGAAAAACAAAAAGCTTCATTACCTTTAAATATGAGGTAAGAAAGTTTGAAATGTCTTAGGTCTCTGGTCACCAGCCTTTAGATAAATAAGAGCAAGTCCCAGCTCTGTTTTGTCTCTGCACCGCCATTGTTTCTCTTATTGACGGTGATTTTTCTTGTCTTTCACTTTTTTTTTGTTCAAATTTCTTTTCTGGAATGCTCAAAGCATGTCAACTTTTCCCACTGTAATGATTTTTGATTGTGTTGGGAGTTGGTCACAACACACTGAATTAAATATTTGAGAAAGTAAGAGAGGCTAACATATGAGGTTCACTTTTTTTCTCTAATAGTGTAAATTATTAAATATTCTGCAAATTTTTGCTGCTGAGGGCCATTGTTTTTGTTTTCAAATCATTATTGTTATTTTTAATTGTGTAATAGATATTATTGTCTCTATTACGACATGGATTTGTTATAAAACGAGTAGCGCTCATTACTGAGGCTATTAAAGTTTTTTCATTTCCTTTTTTATGTCCTTTGTTTGTTTCGTTTTTGTGTCAGTATGCAATGCTGTTTAAGCTTAGCCTGCTGTTTAGTGCTGTTGGTGTTGCTAATTTTTCCAAATTTTATTTTTGAAATAGTACAAGTGTAATTGTTAAAAAT